AGACGCAATTTCTTTCTTGAACAATTCATACTTAAGCCCTATTTCTTATTCGAAGTCGCGTAAAAATTAAGTAACTATTGGATCACAAACGTAGAGATCACTGTCGACCTAGACCCCTCGCACATCCACGGCCCTCTTCTGAGCTTTCATCGTGTCGATATTAGTCGACGAAGCTCCTTGTCCTTCAAAGCGATTCCCCGTCTACGATTCCAACTCCTCTATCTTTGACAACGCCTTTTCTAGTTCCGTTTCAAGATGAGCTATCCTCTCTTTGCGTCGCTGCCGAAAACGAGCCGAGGCGTCTGCATTCCGTTTGCATTTTTCATCAGCCTGCTTCGAACCCGTTGACCGTTGGTAGCGCTTCGTCCAAGGCGTTGGCCATGTGGTCCTGAGCCTGCGATTCCACAGTTGCGGATCCGCGGTCTATCGATCAACCGGCGTTCAGATTCGGGTGGAAGCGAGACATTGTCGGCATCCCAGATGTTGGACCTGGCCCTTCAACCACAGATAGGACTGGATACTGGCGGCCTCACGGTACGCATGAGACTAACTTGCCGTTTTCCGTTCCAGGCGAGAACAAGGATCTATTGATATTGAAGTTGCGTTCGGTCCAACCTGCTATTGTCTGTTCGGATAGGAGTGTAGGAGTATGCTCCAAGAATTGCGTAGTCTCTTGAGCGCACAGTAGGAACTTCTTGATTAAAGGTGTCACGTCTTGCAATGCGGACGTCGCACTGGCCGGGTGGAGACGAAGACTGTGCGTCGCTGAGCATCTCGGCAATGCTGGGAAGATGCCCTGCGAAAAGTTATTCGGAAGTTCTCTATCTCGACTCTGAAGTGCACGAACTGTGAGAAGCTCCTCTGTGCCTGGACTCGCTCTCTCCCATCCTGTTCCAAGGATAATATGGAGTCTGTCGCGAATATGAGGACCACAAGGTCTGATGGAAGAGAAAGATTTGGAATATGGCACGACCTTGGTTTGCAAGACGAATTGCGACGGATGCTCATATTTTATATGAGGAACGCCAGCATCACATAACGAGCTTACGACATCTGCACCGAGCATCCCACGGATGACGAGCTGTTCCCGGCATCATTAGCGACCCCGAAGTGGTAAGTTGTCATGTCACACAGGAGTTGGGATCATGAACCGGCTTGTTCAGCTGGCCCGGGTCACAGACGCCACGTCTATTGAGGCGAACGATGGATGGTGTGCACTACGATTTAAGCGAGCCGCGATGAGCGCTGAGCGGTGCCATGTTCTCATAGCTTGAAATGGACCCCCAGGTCTCGTTCAGATTACCCTCCCCTGCGCAATCACATTGTGATCGCTTAGCGCTTCTCCCCCCTGGGAAAACCATCCGTGCAACTCAGAGTCTTAAGCTCTAGGATGAGTTCATACTGACGAACTCGTTCGGACATTTGATTCAGTGTGCAAGGTACTAGACTGTTTTGCAAGCAGCCATCTTCATTAAGCTCCTGACTACAGACGACTATGAAAATTTCTTTTGAGGACTGGAAAACAACGAATATGCTTGATTGCGCAAGGCAGCTCAGGAGCACATCAGACCAAGCTGGTAACCGAGACATACCTCTGCGAACCATGGTCTTGTTCTTTTTCAGAAACAGAACCTGAGATTGTCTGCCCAGATGATAAGACTGGCTCTTCAACGGCCTTATTCTGGAATGATTTTTGAAGCACCAAGGAGAAGTGGAGACCAGATCGAAGGAACTGCAAACCAAGGAATACCTAGGTCTGTCAGATCTAAGAGTTAAGACAAGACAATGGACGACTTACCGCGTCAACCTTTTCATTGGTCCACACGGAAGCGATCCCTGCTACGGAGACGACGTCTACTATCCCAATTCCACCAGAAGCCATGTCACAGGCGGCATTGAGCAACGTCCAAATCCAGAACCAGAAACCAAGCTCCCCTTCCCACCCACGAGGATCCCGATACTGATGCCAGATCCTTCTCGACATCAGCACGACTCCTGGAACCAAAGCAACGACCTGCGCAGCATAAGCAGAAGCGACACCGCATGCCCTGATACGAAGGTCGCTGAGCGGCGAGACAGCGATAATGAGAATGATGCTGACAAGGGACAGATTTGTGCCATGATGCCAGTATGAAGTAACGCTGATGTTCAGGAAGCGAATGCTGAATTTGGACTGAATACGGTCAGAGCACCAGCCTCGCCATCGTTGAGACACTTACGCTCACGAATGCTCGAGCAAAAGAGGAACATTCCACAGCTGCCAATGTCCACCTCGCCCATAGTGGCAACTGAGTAGTCCAGTGAGCGGCGCCCCCGATGATCACGAGAAGAGGCGCAAAGCACTGGCAAATGTAACCCAGTGTCCACAACGCTCGCTGGGGAGAGAAGAAGTACTCAAAGATGGATTTCTGCCGCGCTCTGAAGTCAAAGTAAACAAGAAAGTTCCAAAAGAGCGTTCCGAGAGACGCCGAGGTGCAATCAAGTCGCGAGAATGCTTTCCTGAGGCATATATAAGATATTCTTCACCGAATTAAGCCGTTCCGGGCCACTCAATTTTGAATCAGAATCGGGTGCACATTCAGGGTGTAAATGGATCTTGGCGCACGCCGGCGTGAAAGCGCGCTAATGGTCCTCAAATCGCCCAAATAAGATTCACTTTTACAAAGGTCCAGCGATAAGCTAGTCAATTAATTGTTCTAGCCTTATTTGGATACGCAAGGTAGGACAGTAGGACAGTAGGACAGTAGGACAGTAGGACAGTAGGACA